TTAAAGTTGGCACAGAGCATATACAGGGTGCTCCAAAATTATGAGCAAGACGATGGAATTTCTAAGCATTTTAGATAACACCATTTGCTAAAACACGCTATGCTACAATCACATTCCAACCATCCCCATGAGTGCGGATAGAGGCCCAAAGTTTGCTCTCGACCTGCACGCAGGTATCCTCCTCCATTTCTTCTTAGCCCTTCTTCAGTCTTGCTTTCTAAGACTCTAAACAAACATTGCAAACTCGACAGGCCCTCATCTAATCAGGGATTACACTTCAAGTGAATAAAGTTCTAGAAAATAGGATAGTCATTCCTCTTCACCAGTGAAGTAGGGCAGCTTCTGTCGACACCACTCGCGGGCAAGTTTGGCTCTGAGGGCTGGAGTAGCGTCCTGCTGGAAGGGGTGCGAGATCTTTCGGAACTCGCACTCCTTCCAGCAGGACGCTACTCCAGCCCTCGGAGCAAAACTGAAAATGTGGTCGGATCAGTGTTTTATTACGTCCATCAGTGCGTTGTTTTAGTACTGGCCTTGGTCAAGTTTCACGCCTGCACAGAAGAAACGAGTGTCTTACCCTTGCCAGCGACTTCCTCGGAAAACATCATTTTACTGTTCTTATGGCGAGCTTATTGTGAGAGATAGCACGTAAGATGTTTCATTCTAAATTGCGTAAGTTTTGGTTGTAGAGGGATGACTTTATAGCAAGAATTTTTTTTGGCCAGAAAAAACGATGAAAGGTTGCGTGTCTTCACTCAGGTGGGTCTGCGACTTTCTTCATTTTTCGGCCCTGCAATGTCTGTTGAGATCTCGAATGAGACGACATTCCTGCAAACGGTAGAAACGACAATGAAGCTTTTGTCTGCGTGTCTTCACTCTTTTCTGCAAATCCATCCCCCCGACAATTTTGATAGTTCCTGTTCTTTTGCCGTCTTTTCGATGGATCATCCAGAATCACGGTCGACTCGCAATCGGACCACTCTAAAATAGCCCTAACTCCCTTTCTACCTCTCGCTGAACTAACTCCGATTCAGTCTTCTTTTCTAAATACATCGTTTAATAATATCCCACAAGTTCACTAAAAAATCCCAATGAATTTCATAATGCCCTTCCACCTCTTGCGTGTCAATGATTGCATGTGGCACTGAATGAGCTTCTTCAATCTGAAAGATTTTGGGAGTTTCACATCGATAACCATGCACATTGCAAGAAAACCTTCCTATGCAACCAATTAATAATAGGTAATGTGAATTTGATAGATTACTACTACCTTAGAAATTTCTGAATTTGACGCCCCATAATTTTGGGACACCCTGCACGTATATATGAATGCATCAGTCCAATCGCCCGGCTTACACAGGACGCTCCTCCTTTTGCTGGAAAATAGCCTGTCGTCTACGTCCCCTCCGAATTTGGACGCTGTGGTGCAGTAGGATATAAAATAAAAATTTTCGGCTAAACACCCGCACACACACCCACAAACTTCGTGAGCGCCTTCCCGCCATGAGCGTATTCTGCTGGACTCATGTAGGTTTAAGTGATGATCCCTCTTTTTTTCAATATGACTGAGCAAATTTACTGAAAGCACGCTCGTTTTACGCACTCTCCGCTCCGCTAACAGAGTCTTGTCCTCCACCTATCATTAGTGTTCCCATCCTGTCCCTGTATCCCTGTCAAATCTAGGCGCCCCAGGCCCAAACTAACACTTTCGTGCGAGCTCCGCCCCTGTGTATGAGGTCTTATCATGCCACCCATCATAGGCATTCGCATGCTGTCTCATGTACTCCTCCTAAATTTGTACGGAAAGGTCTAAAGGAACAGGAGCGACAGATTTTCGCTCGAACACTTTTTCGCGCAGGCCCCGCTACCGTGGCCATCGAGTACATCAGTGAAAGAGTACTGGTCTGTTACTTACCATAACTGTTCCATCCTCTCATCTGCACTCTCACTAAAGTTGAACGCTTCAGGCCCAAATTAACTTTTATCGCTTAGGCCGCGCCCCCCTTAGTCGGGGTTTGATTCTGGCACCCACTGTGAGTGTTTCCATCCTGCCGACTGTATCCCTACGAAAGTTGACTGTTCTAGGTCTAGTGGGACAGGAGTTATGAACTTGCGGTCAGATAAAAACACACACATACTATTACAAACACAACAACAGACGCTATACATTAACACGTGTTGACGACAACGCGCGCTTAGGCATTTTTTGCGGCCTGGGACCGACGCAACATTGCGGCCGCGTCGACCGCGGGACACATCTGTACGTCCGGCGTTGTCTCTTGAGGCGCGCTTTGCGAAGCTTGAGAGTGAAACTTATATCTAACTACTTATCGCTACATAGTAAGCTGATTTCGCTACATAGTGAGCTGATTGACAAAATGGAAAACAGACAAAAGTATTCTATATAGTAAATATTCCGCTTTGAGAAATGCTTATACAGCCATACAAATGGCTGGAATAGGAGAAAACTTGGAAAACTTACAAATTGACCATCTTCTGACAGTTACGGACGACAAAGAGCAAGAAGCTACTGAGGATGAAGTAGATGTTCCAAAAGAAGGTATAGAATCTGAAACAGAAGAAGAACAATCTGAGAGTGAAAGAATTTCACTGTGGTCAAGCAATGCTTCGCCGTACGATGCTTGAAGTTTCGTGGTGTTTCCGACTTACATGATGCTGTTTATGACTGTTAAAAGGTAACGGACTTCTACGAATTGTTTTCGAAGAGATTCTGGACCTCATCCTAGGAGAAACCAACGACTAAGAGATTCGACAAAATGAAGAATTTTAGGAAACCAGGGCTGATGAAATGAGAAAACATTCAATCAACATCTATTAACATGCATTGAATAGCTTAGTTTCGATGTTTTCGTTTTACTTGCTTGTTGATCTCAATACAAATGTGGAAGTTTAAAGTGAGCCCGAAGTTTTGTGAGACTCAGAAAACTTGTGTGAATATGGAGCATATCTGATTATTTTATGGACCATTCTTTTTATAGCTTCGTTATTGTTTGATCTGTGATATAAACACAAAAAATAATAATAAACCATGCGGAAAAAGTTGCGAAATGAGCGCGAGACACGTGTGTTGTCGCACGTGGCCTGCAAAACGGGGGACATATGGGCCTGCGTTGTCGTCAACGTGTTAAGAATAAGTGAAGAATGAGTGAACTAGTATCCGTGCTGGGTAAACAGCTGACTGTTGCCGATAATTTCGCAGTGTAGAATCGCCCGCAGATAAGAAAGTAGTAGATAAAAGAATGGACACGCTGATGGTAATGCACTTGGTCATTGATGATGATGATAGATAAATCAAAGTGGGAACACTATGTATGTTGTATGCATCCGTCCGACGTGAATTTTTTCAGTTAATCATACCTTCAACCTTGCTATAAAGTATCGACTGAATTGCTACTTCCCGACCAATCAATTTTTTATGAAACTTTCGAAGCACTCATACAAAAATAAGATTTTGAAGGTCAAAACTCCTAGAACCAAAGTCGGAGAGTGTTTCTGATGATTAAGGAGAGTGCATCAATGAAATAGTTACAAAGAATAGGTAAGAAAGGCAGAATAGAGACTGAAATCTTCCGAACAATAAGCACTACAGTGTAAAGTGCCCAGATTTAAGAAGACTGAACGCGGAAATACTACAGGAGTTATTTCATATGACAAAGGTGGACTACACAGAATATGTTACTTTTTTCGAAACGAATTGTTGTATGCATTCTACGCTCTTCTTTTTCATTTTCTTTGGCATGCTCTTCTCCACATTTACTAAGCAACTTGAACTTCCTGAACTTTACCTTTTATTCTTACTTGTCCTTCATGCTAAGTCATTGGTGTGTTCTTGCTTAATGTCGAAACACTGTTTGACTCTGTTGTAAAAAAAAAACACACCTTTTACTTTCAAATTTTGTATGCTAATCCATCGATTCTTTTCACAACGCATGCGTGGCGAGTCATTTAGAAATTGTTAGTTCTGGTTATTTTAAAGGCACATTCTAATTTTGAGTAATACAGATTATGACGAAAAATGGACGATAAGATAATAGAAGGTGAGAGAAATAAAGCGATGAAGGCAAAGAAATTGCATGTGTCGGTGTTCCTGAAGTGAAAAAAGGCTATGAAAATCCGATAAAAAGTAGGCTGGACGAGAAGGAGACTAGAAAAATGAACAAGAATGGGGTGTCTGGAAAGTGTGTCATAGCCATGTGTCATAGTCATATGTGTGACAAAAAAGTAAAAATTTAGTCGTTAAGCATAAGATAACAAGAAATAGAGCCCTAGTGACAGCAAAAACAGCTTATTTGGCTTCTTGTGGTAGAGAACTAAATAAGGGATCCCAGCAGTAAAAAGAATAACAGAGAATAAAATGATAACAGAAAACATCGCCTCATCACTCGACAATCTGTGTGTGGGTCGTAGAGCGAGTATTGCAATCTGTACTGATTTCCACAGTGGCGTTGCTAATGAAAGGCCTTATCTGTACAGATAATCTGACAGTGTTCAATACATGCACACCAGCATTCCTTTCACCTGTGTTGAACTTTGCTTTGTTACTCTCACTGACTCCTTTACCTTCCGCTCAAAGTCGAATCACTAGTGAAGATAAGGAAAAATGTTGAGCAGCTAATAACTGCTTACAGCAAAGCCTAATTCGTAGCTTGACATGCTGCGTCACTCCGTGACCTTTGACGCTTCAATAGAACCATTCTAAGATGGTGGTTGCTGATGTGGAGTCGAGGCGTAGAAGATTTATTGCTGGAGACGAACTGGATACAATGATAACTGGTGAAAAGGCCGGGTTTATATACCAGTTGGCCTGGTCAAATACCCTGGTCAAATTGCAGTAATACCAGATCAAGACCTACAATTTGGCGCCTAAAAGGTTGTCTTTAATTGACTGGTAGACCACATATAATAGTTATAAGCCTACAACACATCCCCTTTTAATTACAAAAAACATATGTAGAGTCAGCAAAACAACAAATTAGAACATGTTATGAGGAGTATGAATTCTTCTTCGCGTCTACCATGAGTCGACGGGGTGAGTGACGAGTCCGTAGTGAACGTCGCAGTCGCGGTGTCGACGATGGAGTTGAACGTTGAGCGTCTCCGTGATTCGGCGTCGTCGGGTTGAGTGGAGTTGATGTCGTACCATTCACAGGCTTCGGTTGATCTCTGATGGCATCAGCTTCCCTGTAGAGCGGGATGGTATCGAACACATGGAGTAGTTGGTTGACTACTGGCTGACTGTCGCGTGGCCTCAACTGGTTGGCGTGTCTTGTCCATAGTGAGTTTCCGCAGCGTACGTGATACATGATCGTTTCCGAGGCGTCTAGCGATGATCCCAGGTGTCCAAGTAGTTTTTGCTTGACGATAGTCCTTGGCGTAGACAGCATCGTCACGTTGAAGTGGCGAGCTTTGGCTCCTTGATGCCTGTTGAACTGATCCTCCATTTTGGTGTCACGACGTCCTGTGCTGTCTTCTGGGGATGGCATCATCAGGTCTAGTTCAGTGCGAATACGGCGGCCAAGAAAGTTTTCAGCAGGTGACAGATGATTCGGTCCGGACGGGCAGAGTGTCGACCTGTAGGCCATCAGAAAAGCTTGAAGTGCTTCTGTAGTTGGTTCCTCCCCCCTCAATTTGGTCAGTCCTCTCTTGAACGTGTCCACGGAGCGTTCTGCTTGCCCATTGCCCTGCGGGTGGAAGGGAGGAGATCGCACATGTTTGATTCCTCGACGTCGGCAGAAATCCACAAATGCTGCTGAAGTAAACTGGGTGCCGTTGTCCGTGATGAGTGTCTGCGGATTTCCGAACTGTGCGAAGGCTTTTGATAAAACTTTGATCGTTGCCGACGTGGTGATCGAATTCATCGGGATGATCTCGGGCCATTTAGAGAATGCATCCACGATGACGAGGTAAAAGTTGCCGTCGAGGGGTCCTGCGAAGTCGGCATGCACTCGAGCCCACGGAGTGAGTGGCTTCGGCCAGGATTTGAGCTCGGCCTTCACAGGATTTTTGGCCTGTTGTGCGCATGTAGTGCAGTTTCTGACGAGCTTCTCTATATCTGCTCCCATCGACAGCCAATATACGTAGCTGCGAGCCAGCATCTTCATCCTTGTTTGACCTGGATGAGCTTTGTAGAGCGCTTGTAGGACGCGACGTAGAAGAGATTTGGAATTACGAGACGGTTTGACGTGAGCAGACATGAGCCGATGGTTGATAGCGATTCTCGTCGATTGTAGTATGGCCAAAAAGGTGAGTTCCGGTTCTCTTTTGGCCATGTTCCCGATCGAATGTAGCCGATGACTTGAGTCAGAGTGTGGTCAGCAGTAGCTGCCGCTTGGACGGACCTAAATGAGACCGGTAGCTGATTGCAATTGTCCATTACTTCGGCGCAGAGATCAGCGTCAACTGAAGCAATAACTCGGTCTCCTGGTTCCGGCGAGTAGAGCCCAATTAGTCGTGAAAGGACGTCGGCTTGTCCAAACTCGCTTGTCTTGGCGTACTGAATGTTGAAATTGTAGTTCAACAGAGTAGTAGCCCATCGTTGCAGGCGATTGGCCGTGTAGACGGAAACTCCTTTTCGCGTCCCGAAATGGAGATGAGCGGTTTGTGGTCCGTCCTCAGCGTGAAATGACGTCCATGTATGAAGCGGTGAAATTTTTGGACTGCAAAAATGATAGCCAAGGCTTCCTTCTCAATCTGGCTATATTTTTTCTGTGCTGGCGTCAAAGCGCGGCTAGCGTGGTGGACAGCTTTTTCGTGTCCGTCTGGGAATCTTTGTGAGAGGACAGCTCCAATTCCGTAGTTGGAAGCGTCTGCGGCGACGATAAGCGGCAGAGTAGGATCGTAGTGTGCAAGAAGAAGGTCGGATTTGAGAGTCTTCTCAATCCGATCAAAGCAGGATTGACATTCCGGTGACTATTTGAAGGCGACGAGCTTCTTGGTGAGTGCGTCTAGTGGAGCGCGTAGATTGTGCAGTTCACGAACAAATGTTCCGTAGAAGTTGATCAATCCGAGGAAGGCTCTCAATTGGCTGACGTCTTTAGGTATCGGCATCTGGATTGCTTCGATTTTGGTAGGGTCCGGTCGTCGTCCTTCGGCATTGATTACGAATCCAAGATAGCGAATTTCGGTGTGCAAAAGGGAGCACTTTTCTAAGCGGAGGCGGGGTCCAAAGTCCTGAATTCGCCTGAAAACTGCCTCTAGGGGAGAGTTGTGCTCCTCTATCGTTTTCGTGACAATGATATCGTCGAGGTACGCGGCAGTACCCTCCAATCCTGCCGTCAAGGTGTCCAACTGCTGTTGAAAAATTGCCGGAGCCGCTTTTATTCCGAAGGGTAACCGATTGAGGCGATAGAGGCCGCGATGCGTGTTGATTGTGAGCAGCTGTCGGGATTCCTCGTCCATTTCTATCTGTAAATATGCTTCAGCTAAGTCTAGTTGAGAAAAGTACCTCCCTCCGTTGAGCTTAGCGAAGATATCGTCTGGAGCCGGAAGCGGGTGCTGGTGCTGCTCGAGTGCGTCGTTCAGGCCCGTAGAAAAGTCTGCACAAAGACTAATTGATCCATTCTTCTTCTGGACGACGACCACCGGCGCGGCTCAGTCGGAGTGTTCGACCGGCGTCAGGACCTTTTCAGCTACCAGGCGATCGATTTCTTGGCTGATCCTTGGCTGAGCAGCGTATGGAACCGGACGAGCTTTCCGGAAGACAGGGGTCGCGTCCGACTTGAGCTTGAGCGAAGCTTGTGTTTTTGTGCAGCACCTCAGTCCTGGGGCGAATACAGCAGCAAACTCTTTCCGGAGCCGTGTGGTAAGGGACGATCGTACAGTAGCCAGTGTACAGTCGGATATGGCACTGTACCTAATACTTCCAATGAGGCGATCGAAGGGCGGCTCGACCTGTGCGATCCAGTCGAGTCCCAGTAGCGAAGTGGTGTCGGCCACATGACAGGTTCCACTCCCTTGGCGTCCGTCAATGGCGAATATGCGCTTGAAGTAGCCGCGAACATTGATTTCCTTGTTGTTTGCGGATTTTAGCTTGAATAGCGGCGGCAGCAACTTCGGACAGCCTACTGCGATCCAGTCCGTGTGACTTAGGAGTGTGACGTCTGCGCGTGTATCTAGGCGTATGCGTGTGGAGACTCCATTGACCTCGACGGTCCGGTAGATGCGTCTGATTGGAGCTATCCTGGCGGTGGCGGAAGCGGCGATGACGACTTGGTTGGCCCTTTTTCGCTTTTTGTTCAGGTTAGATGTCCCCTTCTTGTTAAAATTCTTGCAGAATCCCTTCTTGTGTCCGAGACGCTAGCATGCGTGACAGAGTTTTTCGATGAAGTCGCATTCCTTCGCCCAGTGGAGTCCTCCACAGCGGAATTATGGCGAAGGTGGTTCTTTGTTTTGACCCTTCTTAGCCTCCACCGCGTTGATTTCGGATGGGGGTGCAGCTGGTGACGGTGGGCTGCACATAAGCTTGGCGTCCTGTCGAATATCTAGAAGTTGCTGAATTTAAGCGCTGAGCTCCCTTAACGTAGTTTCAGGATTATTCTCCAGCTTGCGTAGAGCGTGAGTACGAATGTCGGNAGCCACAGATCCAGACGAGGCACTTCATTTGTTCGGCGGTAATGGCGTTGAACTCGGCCATTTCATGACGTCGATTCACTAGCCCAGTGTAGTCGCGGAGGCTTTCACCGTTGCACTGGGTTTTCAGGTAGGCGTAACGGCGGGCGAAGACTGATGTGTTGTGCCCGAACAGTTCCTGTAGCGTCTTCACAGTCTCCGCCAGTGAAATCTCGGCTGCTTTCCTTGGAAGGATATGGTTGGTGAAGCGAGCGTAGGCAGGTGCATGGAGCTTCGACACAATGAGGCGTGCCTTTGCTACCTCGTCGAGAGTGGCACCATCCTGCGTAATGATGTCCTCGAAACGGCTGTACCAGACGTCAAAGGTGCAACCATTTTCCGAGTCGTGCGTGATTTCGGGCAGTCGTGCAGACAGTGAGTTAGTGACGAACTCAGCTGATGTGGCGTGAGCAGTCGTCGATGTGGACGTCATCGACGAGAACATGCCTCGCATCTCCTTCATGCGGCTTGTAGCATCTTCTCCTGAGCTGCGGCTCGAGCACTGAGAATAGCACGTAGAGTGTCAGCATCCGACGTAGTCGGCGTTGCTTGATGGAGTCGGCTGCTCGGCGTAGTCCATCCTGATCGCCAGTTGATGTGGAGTCGAGGCGGAGAAGATTTATTGCTGGAGACGAACTGTACACAATGATAACTAGTGAAAAGGCTGGGTTCATACACCAGTTGGCCTGGTCAAATACCTTGGTCAAATTGCAGTAATACCAGATCAAAACCTACAATTTGGCGCCTAAAAGGTGGTCTTAAATTGACTATGGTAGACCACATATAACAGTTGTAAGCCTACAACAGTTGCTTCGACGGACTTAAACTTTATATTTGCGATAAGAAAAATATAAAAGCTTACCAATCGGCTCGCCCGGCTGACGCCTAGCTCTCCTCCTTCCTGTGCTAAAATGGCCTCCCCGCCTGCACCTTTCTCAAATTTGGAGGCTTCGGTAGATGAGAGCAGGAGCTATTCGCTCCCGGCTGAAGACAAACACCCAACACAAGTCGTGCGCGCCCCGTCCGCCATGAACAAACCTCCTTAGGTTCTGTGTGTTTGAGTAACTCGACTTATTGCCGACTTATTCAACCTTGGTTTCGAAATATCGCTTCAAACCTGAGTTATCATTTTTTTACCCACACCCCGCCTGCTGTTCTGTGAGCGGAGTCATGTCCTGCCCCCCGACATGGGTGCTCCCATCCTGCCGCATGTATTTCTATCGAATATGAGCGCTTTACAAACAAGTTTAAATTTTTCGCACAACCCGCCCCATGTAGGTGGAGTCCGTTCTTGCAACCCACAATAAGTGTTTCTATCCTGCCGCCTGCACACACATCAAATTTGAGCACTCTAGGTAAACGGGAACAGGAACCATGAATTTCCACTCAACCCCGCCCACAGCCTTAGTGTGGGAGAAGTCCGTTCTTGCAACCCACCATAAGTGTTTCTATCCTGCCGCCTGCACACCCATCGAATTTGAGCGCTCTAGGTAAACGGGGACAGGAACCATGAATTTCCACTCAACCCCGCCCACAGGCCCACTGTGAGCGGAGTCCGGTCCTGCCGCCCAGCATAAGTGTTCCCATCGTGCCGCCCGCACTCCTACCAAATTTGAACGCTCTAGGCCTATAGGAACAGGATTTATGAATTTCCGCTCGAACTCCGCCCATTATGGTCGGAGTCTGGTTCTGTTACCCACCATGAGTATTCTCATCACGCCGCCTATACTCCTTCCAACTTTGGACTTTCTAGGGGTACGGAAACAGGAGATATAAATGATTCCTGATGACTCAAAATATTTCCGTAAAGCATTGCATTTTTGATGAACGTCGCGCCCATCGGAGTGTGTCTCCCTACTTCGATCTAACTTACCAATGCACACCTCTAGCCACCTTATACCCTAGTTTTGAAGCCGTCTTGTGACTGAATTTGAAGCCATGACGCTCAGTACAGCCCATTTCGATGCACGCCACGCCCACTGTAGGCTTCGCCGAGCTGATGTGTGCTTTATGCTTCTCGGGAAATGGCCCACCCATCCCACGCTTGAGCTGGTCTCCCCAGAAACACATATGACGACAGAAGACAGAACGACAGACGACAGACGACGGAACGAGAGGCGACAGACGAAGCGCTTTATAGTAAGTAGGATCGTTAAATGTAAACAGATCACAAATGTGGCACTACACATCTTCCTTTGAGCGAGTGTTTAACAGAGTCACCATCCATTGTTTTAACTCATTGAGTCTTATGTGGCGGTACCTGTCAACCAGTGCGATTGAAGCATTTCATAACTGAGCAACTACATAACCTCGCATCAAATAAAATTCTTTAGAAAATCACAAATGTCTCGAGTGATGTTTCGTCGAACCAAGCTGTACGGCATGTTGCACACACCATGGTATGCAGACTTGTAGTGTTTCCATTTACACGGAACCCCTTCTTTTTGTAATTTTTCTGCATATTGAATTCCTTCGTCTCTGGAAATACTTTGATGTAAAAAACTAGCTTTATACTTTACATCTCGAGTACCTCAAAATATCGTATTCAGCGGTAAGTACGAAAGCTGGCGGTAGATCCTTTGTGACTCCTAATAGTGAAGAAACATCAGGATTAGCTCCTTTTATGGAAAACATTTGTAAAAGGTCCTCATCTTCCTAGAAAAGAAAAAAGCGCTCTTCTGCGAACAAACTAGTGGTATTTTACTCAACGCTGTTTATGGTCATCAGGTCTTCAGCGTTCAAACTTACGTGACTGGGCTCGTTTGGTTTGGTCAAGTCCATCTTATGTGCCATGCATTGTCCCACGAGCAGTCGAACTTCCAGTGTCGAACTAAGCTTTCTGAAAAAAGGTGAAACATTTCATACGTTGAGCATAATCACTCAAGGTTTCGTGCAGCTCGCGATAACGTTGCGAAATCGGAGGCAAATGCCACCGTTTGAAACTCGGCAGTGACAAGCCAATTTTAGGCCTATGTGATCTTGAGGTCTCTATTTCTTGCCCTTAATCTCGCCCTTAGGCATGAATTGGTTTGAAGCTCTCAAAACAAGACAATTTCTTCATGACCTACTAACTATGGGTATACTAGGTTGAGTTATAAGTCCTTGGATAAATTGACGATGATTATATTTATCTTACAATTTTTAAACGACAATCATTTGAAATATAGCCCATTGGCATCGATGGTCTCCTGCAAACGCTTGAGCAGATATTAGATGCCCTTGCTCTAGAACGCGTGGAGCTCACTCGGAGGTGGCTCGACACATGTCACCACTATCGGTGTGACGAATCTAGGACGTCCTAAGTGCAGCGTTCCATTCAGTTGGGTCAAAACCTCTGCGGTGTTCAGAAGGAAAAAGAATCATTACTTGATGAGTAGCCTAATTTGTCCCATTAAACGGCCTTACGCGGCTTCTTTTCTCTCGATACAACTTGAATAGTGAATTCGGGATTTGAGAAAAAAAAATTTTTCCTTTCCTCAACAGAACAATGTGTAGAAAATCATCTTCACATACGCCACATTATGCTCCATCACTTCGAGAAAGGTTGGAAGGTGGCACACTCATAAAGTGATCTCAACAAACTTCTCAACGATGGAACAGTTGGTTGAAGTCGAATAAGAATGGGATCTGATTCTAGGGTCGCCCTCTTGACTAACAGGAACTCTTATGGGTTATCACGTCGACCGTCCGTTGAAAAATTGGCTAGCGAACAGACTTTCGGCGAAATTGACGACTTGACGGCTGACGTCAAGGCGTGGATCGCCTCCATGAATCGAAACTTCTTGACTCGTGGAATCCGACAGCCTAGCAAATGGGAACCAGTGCATGATGTAGATTGTGGATATGATCCGAAGTTATTATTTGAACATGTCTCCGCTCAATATTTCTATGACTTCCGGAAAAAAATTGAACAAAATCCGCAATAATTATGCAACAACCTAAAATTTAGGAAAATCTCCATAGTTCCGGCTGCACTTTGTGCGGAGTAGAGTTTAGTCTCACCCTTCATGCTCACTTTTGGGATTTTCACGTTCCAGTTACCATTGAAAGCTAAAAAAAAACTAAAAAGTCTCAAGCCTTACTCTGAAATGTGTCGATTGGCAGTAAGCAATTCGACGTTTTTCTTATGAGCAGGTAAACCCAAATAAAGAAGTATCCATCTAGCCATAGCGCGAGGATTTAAAAGCGATGTGCCGTTGTACCTAAAATTCCTACCGAGTTTTTTCATTTCAAAAGAGTTATGTTAATTTTCGACAATCTAACCTATCGCAGTAGGCCAAATAGGATGGCAGTTGAAAAGCGAAGACGTGGATCACAGGATAGATGAGGATTTGGCACTGAAGATTTTGAGCATTGACACGAAATGTACAGCTCAAATACTCCTTTCCCTTTGTTCAGGATCTGTGTTAATCTCACAGATCCTGAACAACGGGAAAGGGCACGGGGAGAGCTCCACATCCGTTCGCAGACGCCAGAGATAAGTTATGGTATTATTTGTAATCTTATGTAAGCATATCTAATCGTAATCTTGTTAAGCATATCTAATCAACGCAAGAGCCATGGAAGTAACGAGCATGAATTGGTACGGAAAAAGTGAGAGTACTCGAAAAACCCTATTTACTACTGGTTAGCCACTCAGCAAAAACGTGCGGAAGACTAAATCACAAGGTCAAGTACTCGAACTCAGGACAGACTTTATTCTAAGAGCAGCAGAAGCACCAGAAGCCTTATTTTTGTTAGCTCTTTAAAGTGAGAGTAACGGTACTAGTTTCATCTAACCTTGATGAAGTTCTCATTTCTTCCCGCTAACCGCTGCGAGACAACAGCTGCCAGATTTCCACCAGCACTATCACCAGCGATGCAGATTTTGTCTCGATCCACATCAAATCTCTTCCAGCTGAAAGTAAGTGAGCAACAAAGTCACATACTCGAAAACTGCATTTGCTGCGCATCAGAATTCGAGTAGTGGCACCCTTCTCACGTTGGACTCTTCTGCTTTTCGTGTTAAAATTGGTAAGCCTACATTCCTTCAAAATGGAAAGCTCTGGTTAAGGAAGACTAGAGTTATGGACTTACAGGCAGTCACACACACGCCCCGAAACACTTCCCAGGCGTACCACCCACAATAAGCGGAGTCCTGCTCAAGTCACTTGTGCTTAAGCAAATTAGCTACGCATTTTTACGTGGACGAAGTGAGCGTAATCGTAATCCCAACCATACACACCCTTCCTCGTTGAAGCAAACCTCAGTCGAACCATCCATCAGGGCTCTCATCCTGCCGCCTGCTCTACTACCGAATCCGAACGCTACAGCTCAAAAAGAGCGATTGTCACGCCCTCCTCTCCCCTCGCGGAAAAAACTAGCCACCGAAGAAACTCCATTACTGCTACCAGTAGACAAGTCTTCATCTATCCTGTGTTGCTTTCAAATTTGAACTCTTGATGTTCACGAAACACAGTAGTATTGGTGAAACATTAATTTTACGCACGCTCCGCCTACCATGGGTGGAGTCTACTTCTGCCACCGGAGGTCAGCTTTCGCAACTACCAGTGCAATACTTACAACAATCTGTTCCATTCGTGCAGACGCAGCAATAACTGCACTGACACTCATTCGTCGAGATGGGGGACCAACCACCAATAAGCGGAGGTGATCAACGCGCACATTTGAAACCATCAACATGTAGCGGTCAACGTGGTTTCGGCTGACCCGACCGATGGGTATAAGGCTCCTCAGTCGGGGCCCTCAGCCCTTATGTCTCCCAATCCAACAATACGCTGGTAGTCGTTTATGCAATGCTCTATACCTGGTTTCATAACCGCGCGCAGCATCATATGAGACAGCACCAGACGATACAATGGTCAATACAGAAGAAGGGGAAACAACCGTTAGTGTTCGCTTTCTGAACAAATGTCAAAACTAGGCCTGCACTCTAGCATTTCAGAGGATATTTCGAGATTTTTGTGGGAGCAACTTTACCACGCAATTTACCACAGCGTTCTCATCTACCTTCTGTACATCCAACAATTTTGAATGCTTGAGGCGCTTGAAAACAGGAGTTATAAATTCTCCGGTTGGACACACACGCCGACACACACGCATCAACAAACACACACATGATAATCTTCACGGGATCCCAAAACATTTCAGTTACCGGTTTTCCTAGAGATCACCTAACATCTGAAAGCGCCCCAAACCATCATAGACGAAGCTTCGTTGTCTAGGCATGCCCAGCACATCTCAGATTTTACCTCCCCTCCATAATTATTCTCCGGCTTCCAGGCCCGAGTGGATCTGTGGATTCACTTAGTGCGAGCCGCCGCCGTGATGACGCTCCGCTGGTCCCACGTCACTCATTCCTCACCTTTGCTCATTTTGCCCGTCCCCAAACTCGCAAGTGCTTTTTTTTCTTGCCTCACGCCTACTCATTTCAAACTTGACTTTGAATATCCAGTGATCCTCTAGGTAAACCAAATTTCGTGACATACAGACGGCAGGCGACAAATTGATTGACTTTATGTTTAGTCAAGATTAAACCACACGAAGAGTGGGGCCTAGATATGGCTTTACCGTTTTAGGACTAATCTTGACTTTTCACTTCTTCGCTAACTTTTTCTTCTTCTTCCTCTTCTTTTCTCTCTTTTTCTTTTTCTTCTTTCTTTTTCTTTTTCTTCTTCTAATTCTTCTTCTTTTTCGTCTTCTTCTTCTTCTTTTTTCTTCTTTTTCTTCTTCTTACCTTCTTCTTTTTTCTTTTTCTCTTACTTCTTATTCTGCAGCTTGTCGTGGAACTATTCTCTGCTATCCGCTATAAGAGTCTTCAGTGCCTCATACAGAAGCCTGCTTGTGATGACATCCACTGTCGGTAGAAACAGGAGCGGAGTTGGGGCTAATCTTTGGTGTACCCCAAACGTGACGACTACTGATTAGTCAATTGTGGAGTACGTACTGCTGTCGTAAGCCCATCGTACAACTCCTTGGCCAGGGACATCTGGGTACTGGAACGTTTCGCTATCAGAGCGCCCTCCAAAGCACTTGTCTTAGGAGTGATCAAAAGATTTCTCCAGGTCAAAGAAGACTACGTGGCATGGTCTATGCTGTTCTCTACACTTCTCACTTTCTTCTCATCAGTTGCTGGCTATAAAGATAGCATCTGTTGTACATTTTGTGGCATGAAGCCGTGTTGCTACTGTGAAATCGGAACCAGTTCTTTCAACCTTGAGTCGACTAAACTCTCAACTCACCGTGTGTGCAGTTAGCCTGACACTACGGTAGGTGGAACAAACCATGGCATTCTTCCTGTGCTTAAAGATGCGAACGGTAGCACTGCTCCTTCACACATCCGGTATAATTGCTTCAGTGGGCAGGGTGTTCAATATTTGCGTGGGCGTGCGCCTGAACCCATGTTGCTCGCGCGCCTCCCATGCTTCGATTGGTACCCTATCCGGGCCAGATGTTTTCCTAACCTTCATGTTCCCATGTCCACAGTGCGATGATACCAGCCGTAGTCTCCATATGATGGCTGTGCTAACGGAATAATTCTCCATCTAGGAACCTTTCCAAGTGATCTTTCCACCCACGTCTGAACACACAAGGCTTCCTCATCCTCGCTGTTCTTAACGGACCACATTACCCGCAATGTCCTCAACATCCCGGTGTTGCGCTTTCGTCAGCCGAAGCGTCAGCTGAGGAGGAACTTATCCCCTTCTTGGCCATCGAGTTTCTTGTACAACACGTCCATTTCCGTATTTTTTGCTTTCGCTACATGGGCCTCTTAGAAAATTTGTCGGCAGCTCCTGGAGCTCACCTCTTGTGATAGCGCTTGTGAGCCGCTTTATTCTGTCACAGCTTGCCTGACTTCATCGTTCCAGAATCATGCTTGCTTGACTCCTCGAAATCCACCTCAAGTCATCCCCCTGCGTTTCCCTTGCACACTGTAAGATGACTTTCATAGTGTTTCTCCTGTTCTGCTGGATCAGTTCTTCAGTATCTAGGAGAACAGCTTCCAGTACCTTCCGGCTTCAGTTCCTCTATTTCGAGTTAGTGCAGCTCTAACAACCGAATCAAATCCTCCGTTTTGTTCTAGCACATGGTTTATTTCTGTTTCCTTCCCTGCCATGTTGTAGGTTACCTTCTAAGCCTTCTTTTCCGCGAGGAGAGTGCTGCTAACCGCCAAGTCATAGGCCATAACCAATTAGAGGGTTCTCCCTCCTGCTTCTTTTCTAAATCCTATTACTCTACCTTCATGTGCCCTTATCTCCTTCCACTGCCGGCATGCTCGTTCAGATCGCTTTCTATGCTGAGATGGTCCCCTTTCAGATTTGATCTGATGGTGTCGTAGAGGCTCAGATAGAACTCATCTGTTTCACACTCGGGCAGTCTGCTTGTGATGCGTACGCGGAAATTGTTTTCCACTCCCCCTTTCATGTCAGTCCTCACGGCCATGTTTGACTGCTGATCCTGTTGACGGCGGAGACAGAGTCGTTGAGGGATTCCGCCACTGCTATGGCCACACCATTTGGCTTGATCTAGTCTCCACTGTAGTAAATCTCTAGCTCTCCTACTGCTCTAGCCTTTCCTCCTTACCAGCGGTCTCCTGTAGGCATAGGGCTGGACTATTCTGCGCTTCTTAAATCAGCGGCCTCTCGAGACCTTTCGCTGAGCAATCTCGCGTTTAGGACACGATTCGAACCAACTTCTTTGACCGAGGTTGTTCACTACCCGGTAGCCCTCACATACTGCCCACAGCACTTGAGCGGAGATCCACTTTCGGGTGATGTAGCCTGATCACTCGTTTCTACCAGGACTTATGACATGATTGGCATGACTATTTAGTTCCATCTGCGGGCTGTCATGCTGATACCGATACCAATTTTGCAGTTTTTGCAAGGCATTAATTCCGTTTTTGCAGGGATCGAACTTGCGATCTTTCTAGGTACATACATGAATCCACCCACTCTTATCCGCTCGGCCAACCTTGTCGTCTTTGAGACAACGCATTTTGTGTGTATGTAAGTTAGAAAATACGGATGTTCCTTATTTAAACCTTCGAAGAAGACGGAGGAAGGGTTCAAGGAAGCGAGAGAAAGTGCATCGAACAACCAGAAAATTTGGTAGCAGCTATTCACGAAGGCATATGACATTGGAGGTCACTGTAAGCCATCTAGCCACAAGCTCAACTACCCATGATTTTCGATGAAAGGTCCTGAGTTAAGTAGATATTGAACTCGGTGCTCTATTAATACAAACCTTTCATAGTATAAATCATTAACAACAGATAGTCGACCGAGAAGATGGTCATGCCTAGTTGGCGAACAAAGCCGTTCAGAAAGTCGTCGTAGTAACCTACAACTTCTGTACTCTAACTGAATTCAGTTCTAGGCTTAATCAAAAACGACTCACCGGCTCTCATTGTTGCCCATCCTCCACCGTGAATAAAAACTAAAGCGGCTCTGCTAAGTTTTTTTCGTGGAGCATACACTCTGACTCTTGTACCACCGACCGAAACATTGGTAATCTGAGGAAGTATAGCCTCGATCTAATACTCGAAATTTTTCCCCGAATGGATTTACTAAAACACATTTGTGTCTATTTAAACATTCAACTTCTCCACCGTATAGTCCATACAAAACTTTTTTGTCAGACTAACAAGCATTTACCTGCCATTACAATTTTGGTGGGTATTATACGATAGTGTGCGAAAGGTCGAGATACCCCTTTAAATCTCAGAAGACAGTTGGTTCGAAACCGCCTCCATGATCGAAAATGCCAAACATCCTCCTGTGTGGTTTGCCCTTCAATAATATATTATATTTCACCACCTGCCAATTGTGTGAGGAAGAATATGTAGGGAAACGGGAAGATCACTCTGCATCAGGATAAAAGAGCATTCAGATGGGTTGAAGAAG